TCATGTAACCAATTACGTTTTTCTCTTTGCCTTGGTTTATATGACTTCATAGAAATTCTCTTTACTTTGCTACTTGGCTTTTGTCTTTTATCTTGTGTTAATTTTTTGTTTTGAAAGTAGATAGGACATAATTTCCATGAGTTCTCAAGCCCTTGTATGCCCATCTTTTACATTCTCATAAAATAAGCTACACATAAAATCACTGTCAAGAGTAATGGTGTTTAAAAACACATCTGACTATGCATACGGTAGTCAAATGGGTAGTTGAAACGAAAAAAAACCTGTCAATGGTGAACTAAAACCAAAAACAAGCAAAGGAATATACTGCGGTCAAAAATGAAATCTTGTCAACATATTTTATGCCAAAATCAGTTCTGAGGGAGCAAAGTGTTCTGTAAATTTTAACAGTAACAGTAAATTTAGGCACTGATGTTAACTAAAAATATATATTATGAACAGCCAGCATCTCTTTCTGCAACTCAGTGTCTTTTTTTAAAGCAACAGAACATTTTAACATTGTGTCTCAAAACTGAAATATATTGCAAAAGAAACCCTAGTGTTACTGATTTTAAAAAAATGTATAAATGTCACTCTTTTTCCACATTTCCAGTATTGATCATCTAAAGTAAATATTTAATGATGCCTCTGCAAAAGCAGAAACCACAAAATTTGAACGAATTTAGCAATCATTTAGTCCTATCTTGTTTTGTAAATAAGGTAAAGACATGAGAAAATGAAGGTGCCAAAACTGACATGGCCTCCTAATGTCTCAGCCGGCATTAGAACGCAGGTCTTCTAACTCTAGTTCTATGTTCTTTCTACCACATTATACTATAATTTTATCACTAATAAAACATTTTAGTAAGAATATTATTACAAGAAAAATAAAATACAGCAATTAGAAAATAAAAACAGCTAATCTATGAAATGAAAATAAATCTATTAGGGTTAAAATTAAATTATGCTGGCTGGTTAGCTCACTTGGTTAGAGTATAGTGTTATATCCAAGAGTTTGGATCCCCATACCAGCCAGCCACGAAAAAAAAAAAAAAAAAAAAACCCAAAAAAACCAAACAAACTTGAAAATGCTCCAAAGACAAATCAACTGCCCCAAATTTGATAATAAAAGTCCATAAAAGGTTCAAGACACAGAGTGTTACTTATATAAATTTATAAACCATTAAAACACTATTACAAATAGCCCCCCAAGAAGAAACCAAATGTTCATCAACAGATGAATGAACAAAATGTAGCATATACATAAAACGGAATATTATTCAGCTGAAATAGGAATAAAGTTCTAAAGTTAAAGTTCCTAAAAAGGAATAAAGTTCTTATACATGCTATAATATGGATGAACCTTAAAAACATCATGCTAAGTGAAATAATCCAGACACAAAAGGTTAATATTGTATTATTCCACTTATATGAAATATCTCCAAAAGGCAAATATGTAGAAACAAAGTAGATTAGAAGTTACCAGGAGCTGGGGGGAGAGGAGAATGGGGAGTCGATGCTTAATGGGTACAGAGTTCCTGTTTTGGATGATGAAAAGTTTTAGAAATAGTGGTGATGGCTGCAGAACACTGAATATAATAATTGCCACTTAAACACTTACAAATGGTTAAAATGGCAAATTTTGTTATAGCTATTTCACCACAGTAAAAAAAGTAAAAATAACCCCAAAAAACTATCATATATTTACCTTGTAATAATAAAAGTGCCCAGAAACAACATTCTATATGCATGACCAAACAGTATTTTTATCTGACCATTTTCAAAACATAATTTATTCTAAACCTTATTTGGAATATTTACTCATTTAACAAGTAGTAGTCAAATGTTTGTTATCCCTTAGATAGACAGATGAAAGGAAGAAAAACAGACAGGCTAGCCTATCACATCTACGTTACAGAATTGGTGGGAGGATCAAATGAAAAGATGTAAAATATTCCATAAATACTAAAGCACTACATAAGTATATCTTAACTTATATATCCCCAAAATTGAAGCTAAAAGTCATAGTACACTGAGAAAAAATACAATTCCAATAAAGAATGCTTATAAAACCAATAATTAGCACGCACACACACACAAAAGCTTCACCTTTGAAAAAGCAGAGATTTATGATCAGTTAGATATCAGTGGGATGATCTGTAAGGCTTCCTCTAGCAATAAAGATCTGTAATAATTGCACTTGGAACATTAAGGCTTTATCTTAGAAATAAACAAAAACAAAATCCTGAATTAGGTTATCTGAGCTCTTAACTATACCTTGTTATATTTTATGCTTTTAATAACTTACTTGGAATTAAACTGATTTTCCAAGTGCATCAGAGTAGAAAGGGTTTCTCAAAGCAGGGCAAATTCTGAATTGCTAGCATGTTTGTTCTTCCCAGAATGAGTAATTTTTAAAGTAGACTGTATTAATGGCCTGTGTTGTAACAACTGCAGCCAAGGCATGGAAAAACATGGAAGTGACATAAAAAAACAATGGAAATAAATGTTTGTGTGTGTGTGTGCACGCAAATATATTTGTGTGTGTAAATGAATTACCAGAAAGGTTGATCATAGCAATGGCATGAACAGGAGTAAACAGCAATATACATCTTTTGGATTTACCATACTGTCTAACCACAAGATGAAAGCTGGACACAATTACTAGTCTGCCAGGAGGTGAGTGATACTTTAACCAATTTACTGGTATGGCATTAGGTAGTAAGCCCATATAAATATTGGATAAGTATACTATCACATCATGAGTTAAAACCAAGTAACAGAAAATACTAAGGGGGAAAAAGTATATATTTACATGTACCTTATAAATGAGTAAGGAATAATAATCTTTGAAAAATAAGGCTTTCAAAAGCTACGGAACTGTTCTTTCTTCACAATTTTATAAATAGAAATGATCATCTATGAATGCAGTTTAAAAATAACACAAGTCTGTTGCAGTGCTTTTCAAACTTTAATGTGCACAGTAATCACCTAAAGATCATTATTTCTCGAATCATGTTACCACACGATTTGGGAGCCTGAATAATGGCTCCTCAAATATGTTTACAACCTAATCTCCAGAATTTATGAATGTTACCTTACACGCCAAATGGGACTTTTTAAGTGTGATTAAGTTAAGGATCATGAGATGGGGAGATTATCCTGGAGAATGTGAGTGGGCCCTAAATGTAGTTACAAGTGTCCTTATAAGAGGAAGACAGGAGGAGTCAGAGTGAGAAAAAGGCCATGTGACAACGGAAGCAGAGAAAGACAAGGAGAGACTGGAAGATTCAATACTGCTGGCTTTGATGAGGCTGAGCCAAGAAATGCTTGTGGCCTCTAGAAGCTAAAAAGCAATAAATTGGATTTCCCCCTATACCCTCCAAAAGGAATGCAAGCCTGCTGACACTTTGATTTTGGCTCAGTGAAGCTGATTTCGGACTCCAGAACTGTAAGAAAACAAACATGAGGTTTTTTTTTTTTTTTTTTTTTGGGGGGGGGGGGGGTTTGGCGGCTAGCTGGTACAGGAATTCGAACCCTTGATCTTGATGTCACAAGGCTGTGTTCTAACCAAATGAGCCAACCAGCCAGCCCCTCTATGTTCTTTTAAGCCACTAAATCTGTGGTAATTTATTACAGCAGCAATAGGAAACTAATACAAGTCATTATTTTAATTTCCTTAAAATGAAACATGTGTTTATTATAAGCATTGTCTATAACACTAAAAATATAAAAACTCCAGAAAGAAATTTTAAAATTATGTACAACTATCAAAGTGTCATAGAAAAATTTAATTACATGGATCACATGAGGATATACTTGGATTTCTGAAAAGCACGTTACAAAATAATATAATTTTAAAATGATATATACATATAAAAATGGATTTTTAAGTTTCCTATGGTGCTATGGACTGAATTCTGACCCCCCAAAATTCATATGTTGAATCCCTAACCCCAAGTGTGACTATATTTGGAGATAGGGCTTTTAGAAGATAATTAGTGTTAATGAGACATGGGGTCCTAATCCAATAAGATTGGTGGTCTCCATGCACGTTTACTGAGGAAAGAAGGTGACTGTCTGCAAGCTAGGATGAAAGCCCTCACCAGAAATCAACCAGGCTAGCACCCTGATATCAGGCTTCCAGACTCCTGAACTGTGAGAAAATAAATTTCTGTTATTTAAGCCACCCAGTCTGTTGTATTTTGTAATGGCAGCCTGAGAAGACTAAGATGTACAGTAAATGTATATTATTTTTAAGACTAGAAAAATATATTTTTAGCAATAGCAACAACTTTGAAAAGCTCTGATATTTTATTTAAAAAGAGTTGCTAACAAAAACTTTGTCTATATTCAGCATTCTACCCATAATCATCTATAAATGATTATGTCCCAAAAGTACAGTATGATACTTTATAAAAAGAGGTGCTACATTATCTGATGCTTGGTAGCACTGATATTTATAACTTACAACACCCTTATTCTTGATTTGATGATTTCAGCTGATGGAATATAAAATGATGGGCAATTTGTCTTAATGACTGCATCAAGTGTAATAAAAAATATATACTTTATAGCCCTCAAAAGTAAGACAGTTACAATCAGTCATCCTACGTCAAAGTAGTCATTTGAAATTAGTTTTATATAATTAGGATGACTATATGCTTGATTTGCCTGGGACAGCCCTAGTTTATGTCCACTATCCTGGTGTAATTGTTAGCAGTGTCTGCTTTCTCTCTCAAAGAGGTCCTGATAAACTATGGCTATTCTCTGTATAACCAACTGCAGAATCATTACACTGAATAAATTTTATAAATTTAGTGTTTATTCTTGGACAGGAAATATCATGTCTTTTAATTTGGAAAAGAGTCATGGTATATAATATTCAATTATTTAAATAAATTTCTCCCCCACAGGGAGCCAAAGTAAATTCTGTGAATGAATTGAGAAGTACTAAGAAGAACTAGGTGCCAAAGCATTTTTAGATGATATTGAAACCACTCAAGAATCCAAACTTTTTAATTTACTTAAGCAGGATTAAAATTATTCAAAGGAAAATGTTAATACACGTAGAATTCTAGAATAGATCACACCATGTCTCAAAATGTAGACATAAATAATTGTGAGCTTATCAATCTATTCTGGAAGATATACGTTCCAAACAATTTCTAGATGAGGTAATAGCTCCAAAGTCCTCCCTTTTACATTATAAAATATAACATGAAAAATTAAACAAATGGCTTAGAGTGTGGTCATCTAAAGTTTGTATCTTACCCATAAAAGTGACAGGCCGACTCATGGTGCTAACTACCTCTTATAATAACAAAAACAGGTCATTTTTAAGAATTATCAAAGCTATATTTAACGAGGAAAACATAGTAAGAATATGAAAAAATCTTTTCTTCCTAGGATTTTCTATGAGATTTGGAAAGAAAGAGAGAAAAACAGTCTGAATGATAAATTCAGACTGGCCACAGGAAATCAGCTTTCCACATTTATGAAACAATACCTACATCATCTCTAGTCAACGTTCCTGAAAATGAAAACACGGCAAAATATAATTATAGAACACTGCTTTAGAAAAACTTTTTCAGAGAATTATATTCCTTAAGTATTTTTTCCAATCACTTCATATAATCCTGACTCATTCATGCCATAGTGTGTGTTTATATTTTAAGGTAATGATTCTACTACTTATGCACAATGAATTTCATAGCACCAATACATTTGTATACTTTAAGATTGGTTTTTGGGTTATTGCTCTTCCTCTGGTTCTCGTGACCGTTTCTGGGACTTCAAAGGACCTTCTGTTTGCAATGAACATGCAGTAGCAACAAAAGCATCTCTAAATCCCTGAGGCTGCAAGATGAAAAAAAAAACAAAAAACAAATATGGTAGATCTGTTGGAAGAGGTAAAAAGAAGTAACATGTACTAATTGTTAGGTACTTTACAAATTTATTTTTACAATTAAATACTCTAAAGTTTTCCAACTAGGCTATTTCAAGTGCATCTGGGCAGTGCAAAGACTGAGTGGATAATTCAGTTTCAGAATCTCTTTTGATTTCTGTTTTTGTCCTTATAAAAATGAGATGCCAAGAATATACTTGGCTGAATACTACTTATAAATATGCATATTTCAGCCAAAAATGTTATGTTCTATGATGTAAATTCACAGAAAATTACATTTGAAAGTGGGCTATATTTGGTGGTCACAATAGATCTATAATATCTACAGACCAAAATAAGTAATGTTGGTATTTTCTCTTTTTTGAAAATCTTCAAAAACTTTCACTTTAAAAATCTTTACTATCTTGACATTACATATGGCATGGAATACACTACCCCAAAATAAGTATTTCCTCTGTTCTTAAAAATAAGTTTCAGTCCAATTGTGACTACAGTATTCTGTATATTTTGGGGACAATGTTCTAAGCATCAAAAGCTGTCCTCAAATACGCTTGCTGCCCACAGAAGTTAACAGAAACAATTTGTAAACGCTTTCTTCAAAATGATTACTGCCCACTAACACCAAAATCCCACTTTACTCAAATAATACTGACTGTGATTTGAAAAGGTACCGTGGATTCCTTCTGGCTTGGTGATTTGCACAATGTTGCCAATCTGCTTAGAGGGAAAAATAAATATACACAAACACATGATCTTAATTAATTAGTTCAGATGACTGATTTCATAATTTAAATTTATCATTTTTTACCATAAGTCTATTATTTTGTTGTATAAGGGCACAGAAAGGAAAGAAATATAAAAAATACTTCCCTCAAACAACACCTACATGTATGCATGTAATAATTACAGTATACACATAATAACAGAGTTGTTTAAATAAGTGGAATTTTAAAGCAATCTAAAAGTCCAATAATTCAAATAAATTATTTTATATATGTTGATACTGCTTATGCTAAAAACAAAAGCTGGAAAAAAATAATGAGATAGAAAAGTATTAATAGTATACTAAATAAAAGTTATACTGTATAATCCCAAATTTATGAGTATGTATATACACATATATAGAAAACTTGCTAGAAGACTACAAAAAGTTAATAGTTATTATTACAAGGTAAAGATTGTTTATCTACATCTTCCAAACTCTGCAATCATTGTGTACTTTTTGTGTGTTATTACAGAAGCATTATGGCAATTTCTTGGAATATAAATGAGGAATACAAATAAGCAAGGAAGACACATTGTTTTACACTGATTATATCCCAAAAAAATCACTGTAATGACAGAACAAGGTCTGTTTAAGTGGGATTTTATTATTCATTATACAAAGTAAATAATATAAAACTGAAAGCTGAAAGTAGTTAAGAAATAAAATTCTAACCTCTTATTGACTATATTCAAATACTATAACAGCAACAAATATAAGCAAAATCTTCCAAATGCCTTTTAAAATTACTTTAAAACTGATATAACTTATTCGCAGTAGCCAAAAGGTAGAAGCAATCCAAGTGTCCATCAACAGATAAACAAAATGTGGTGTACAATGGAATATTATTCAGACTTAAAAAGGAAGGAAATTCTGATACATGCTACAACACACGTGAACCCTGAAGACATTATGCTAAGTGAAACAAACCAGTCACAATAGGACAAATAGAGGGTACTTCAAAAAGTTTATGGAAAAATTGAATTAAAATAGAAATCTTTCCATGAACTTTTTGAAGACCTCTAGTATTATATGAATCCAATTATATGATACTCAAATTCATAGAGACAGAAGGTAGAATGGTGGTTGTCAGGGGCCAGAGGAAAAGGAAAATGGGTAGTGCTTAATGGATACAAAGTTTCAGTACAGGAAGATGAAAAAGTTCTGTAAATGGATAGTGATATTTGCACAACAATTTGAATGTACTTAATGCCAGTGAACTGTACACTTAAAAATTATTAAAATGGGGCTGGCTAGTTAGCACAGTTGGTTAGAGCACAGCCTTATAACACCAAGGTCATGAGTTTGGATACCTGTACCAGCCAGCCACCAAAAAAAACTCCCCAAAAATGGTCAAAATGATGAATTTATGTTATGTATAGTTTGCCACAATTAAAAAAAACTGATACCGTACCAGCCAGCTGCCAAAACAAAACTGATGTAACTACACAAAACAAACAAACAAACAATAACAACAACAAAACTGATGTAACTACACAAAATGCACATTCTAACTTAGAGAAAAAAAACACAGACCCTTACTTAGGGCTATTAGGGCCATTTATTTGCACACAATATGTTGATTTGTTTTCAAAGGCAATTCAAAAAGGATATTTTGGTTACGATTTGTTACTCTATTAATTTGAAATTGCCCCTCTCCTCAGGTACAATTCAAGAGAAAAGCAATCAGAGGCCATTCTGTTCCATGTTTGTACTTTCAGGATGAAAACAGCAGAATCCAAAATGTCATATACTCTACACATAAATAAAATAACTGCTAAGTAATTTGTAACATAAGAATAGCTGTGTTAAGTGGAATTATAAATTTTTTACAATGCTTTAGGGTTGATACTCTTATCTTTAATGCAAAAATATAAGAGAAAAATAGAGGCAAAGTGTATTTTAAGCTCCCTTATTAGAAAATCACTTTTTGATTCAATAAAACAAAAGGTAGCTAACCTTCTGAAAAATTAGTATCTAAATCACCTCCTATCACCAATATTTCCAAAAAGGTACCCTGTGCATCTGACTTTTCTGAGGAATTTATTTAAAAGTAATAAGCTTTTAAGAAGCATTTACATGTTTATCTAGAATCCTAAAGTCAAAGGGACATTAGCTTATCAGGCTGAAAATCTTCCTCAAATTTCTAGGTAAAAATGAAATTTTTATGTCATGTCTGCATCTCAAGAGATCTTTCTAAACAAGAAACTAAACCAAAGAATCACTTGGCTCATGGCCTCAGCTGAGAGGAAGCTTAACATATGGCTGAACTACATAGTTTGGGTCAGGAAGAAACAAGACAGAAGCACAATTTGTGCTCTAAAGCTGAGCACACATATGAAACACTGTGTGGGGGTGTTGATATATTACTCCACTTTACCACCAGATCTTCTTGGCAAAGAGTAGTGTAATTCTGAACAATCTTGGCCTCACATTCTCATGAATATGCAAATTGGAGGAAAATCCACATAAGGCCACAGACAACAGCACTTTTTTTTTTTTTGGTGGCTAACTGGTATGAAAAGAATTCTTTTAGGGCCGGCCCGTGGCTCACTCGGTAGAGTGCGGTGCTGATAACACCAAGGCCCCGGGTTCGGATCCCATATAGGGATGGCCGGTTCACTCACTGGCTGAGCGTGGTGCTGACAACACCAAGTCAAGGGTTAAGATCCCCTTACCAGTCATCTTTAAAAAAAAAAAAAAAAAAGAATTCTTTTAATAATTGTTGGAATGTTGTTTCCATCATTAGTGAAAGGGTAAAAATCAGGTGCTTCTGCTGAAGGATGGGGGTTGGGGCATGAGATGGTACACCTAAATTTAACTGCCAATATACATTTTGTTATTCAAGGTTTTTAGTTTTTCTTCTCAAACGGAAAGTGTTCACTTTTATAACTATTTTCCCCACAGTATGAATTTCTATTTCCATCCTTTCAAGGTAAACTAGATTTTAAAAAGCATACAAGACTTCATTCAACCTTAATAATTTAAAGATATCTGGTTTCAAACAATGAAAAACAAAACTATTTTAATTCTATTAAATGAGGTCAACTTATTCTGATTATAATAAAGTATGCACATTACTTATCATATATCCATAGGCTGGGGGAAAAAACAGTTTAGAGAAAAAGGATGTTGCTTAAATAAGAGAATAAGAGCTACACATTCAGATTTGCTGGCAATCAACGCAATACTATTATTACCTTCTAGAAACAATTATTATAGAGTCAGCTATGGAATATGAATAATACTACCTATTTCATAGAATTATTTAGAAAATAAAATGAAATAATATATACTTATATATACAGTGCTTTGCACAATAAAGGAGAAACAGTAGTGTGGCTATACTAATTTAGTCAGTTAATTTTCTAGGTCTTAGTTTTCTCACTTTTAATGAAATAGGTATAGATTAATCAGAGTTACTGAAAGGGTTATTTGAAATGTTGTATATCGAGTGCCTAGTAAAATACCTAGCACAAGCAAGTACTCACTAAAATGACAGTACGAGATACAGGAAAAATTTTACAGAACAGTAAAATCTCAAAATCTATCTGTATTCAAGGTACAGTGTTCTACACCATTCTCTAATTTTTTGGGAAGGATTTGTAAGAAGCTGAATTCACACAATGGTTAACTCTTAAAAAGTATGATTTTCTGACCTCATGGATACTTAACCAATGCTAACTTCTAGAATTTGACAAAGGCACACTTTCTTCCTGATGAGTTCATGAAAAGATGAAATATCTTGTTCTGCTCCTATTACTTTTCTTATTTCTTAAATGGATTCTATTAGTGAATATTTAATTATACTCTGAAGAGGACTACTATTGTATACTAGCTCAGGGGGAATTCCTAAGATATTTAAACGGTGGGAGCACTTTACAGAATAACCTAAAATTAAAAGCAACATGTTCAAAAGACTCAGTTGGAGAACTTTGCCAACTCTTTACAATAACATTTATTGCTGGAAAAAGAATTCCTTTTGTATATCCAGTGTACAGAATTATTTAAAAAATTGGAGGGGTGGAGATATTCAATTGTAAAGCACTATGTATTATGAAAATAAAAGTTACCTGAAATACTATCTTTAAGGGAGACATAAACTACAATCGGTTGCAAAAGATGTATGCAGAAGTTTAATTTATTCTGCTGTGAGCTTAGGGTCAATAAAACCTAACTTTGTTAGGCATAATTTTTTTCAGTTTATAAAACAAAGAAATGAAGAATAAAAAACAGACAATATCACTTACTAGGCCCAATATGTATTTAAGTGACCCTTTATTCCATCTTTGCTCACATGCTGTCTCAACTTCCCCTTTACTAGAGCATTTCTTTAGGTTATGCCAATTAATCACAAAGCAAAGAGGCTGGCATAAATCTGACTGTTCTAGAAGTATAGAATAAAAGACTTTACAGCTTTCAATGGCCTATTTTAAAGAAAATGAAAGCTGGTTGTTCACTTGCTTAGCAGCTTTAAGAACAGATACAGAGGTTTCATGCTGTCATAATTTTATTTTAAATGACAATACCTGTGAAAGGCAGGTAAGTAACTGGATAATAAAAGCAGGATAGCGGGCCAGCCCGTGGCTCACTCGGGAGAGTGCGGTGCTGATAACACCAAGGCCACGGGTTCGGATCCCATATAGGGATGGCCAGTTAGCTCACTGGGTGAGCATGGTGCTGACAACACCAAGCCAAGGGTTGAGATCCCCTTACTGGTCATCTTTAAAAAAAATAAATAAATAAAAATAAAATAAATAAATAAATAAATAAATAAATAAAAGCAGGATAGGAAAATACAAAAGAAAAAAAAATAACAGATAGAATTTCATACTAGAAATATATTAAGCAACTAAGAAAACCCATCCTTGGGCCGGCCCAGTGGCGCACTGGATAGTGCGCCGCTTGGGAAGCGCGGCGGCGCTCCCGCCCGAGGGTTCGGATCCCACATACAGACCGG